GAGAGAGAGAGAGAGTAAATTGAGGGTGCGTGGAATAAATTTAAGATATTTTAGGTACTTTAGGTAAGGCATGAATTTCTTTATTTGTGGCATGAAATTATAGTTTGAAAATAATATAAAAGTGCGTGGAGAGAGGTATGAGAGAGTGCATGGAAATAGGCAGTTAGGTATTTTAGATAAGGTTTGAACCGCGTTATTTGTGAGATGAGATGTTATATAGAAATAAAATATAAGTACACACACAAAGTTCATAGAATTGGGAATCTCTTGCAAGGTATGGATAAGCACATTCAATATTTTTCTTATTTAAATGAGGAGAAAAATGGCAAAAAAAACAAATACCACCGGGTCAAAAGGGTTAGAAAACCAAAAGGACAAAATTGGTAATAGAAAAGGACACTTCTTGCGAAAATATAGTTGGTCACCTTCCCTGTCAATACATAATAAGATTGATGACAATTCAGGAGGAAGAAGATTTGGAGCGCAGACCTAAGTGTCGGCGCATATGGGATGGAGATTATTGTGCATCTGAATCAGAGGAAGATCAAAGGCCTCGAGAAAATGATGCCAATGATCGTGACCAATCTGTTGGGAATTCTCCCGCAAGGTAATAATACTGTATTATTCACGATATCTATTCACTTCTTATATTGGAAATATGATTATTTCCTTCTCTCTTGTTTTGATTGTTTTGTTGTCTAATATATTTATTGCTTTAAGGGAAACCTATTTGAGTTCATGAAGAAGGAATCATTTTGTCTAATAACCAAAATTTTTTTGAACTATGTCCACTCTTTTGATCTTCTTCACCAGTCACATACCATTTTGGGGTTTCCGATATTTGAGCCCAATGGTGCTTACACTTCAGTCTCATTTCTGCTTTCAATTGTCTCGATATTCCTTACTCTTGTCTAAGCCTTTTTTCTCTATAAATTGCAAAGAGCTTATTTTCCCATCCAGTATTCATTGATTAAGAAAGAGAATTTTATCTCACTGTTTATTGTTTCTGGATATTTGTTGTAACTAGGAATGCACTTCTGTATATTCTGATATTTTTCTATTTTTGAGTTTGGTCTCTCCTTCCATCTATATATATGTGCGACAATCCAGTACCTAGAAGAGAACCAGTGGCATTTGAAGGACATTTTTTGTTAATGTGACGGAAATTTGGACAAATAAATCTCCCCATTGACTTATTAAGGTTGATTAGAAATTTACTTGCAATATTAGAATGGTCGAAATGGCCTAAAGCCACAAGGAGAAACTCTTAGGTAACATATGAATGTACAATAATATATGTAAATATCAAAAAGGTTCAATCTGATTAATTTGATCAAGCTCACTAAAATATATTTCTATGGTTATGATGACCAAGTGCACCTAAAAAAAGAAAAATGACATACAACAATGCAGATAAGTGCAGTGATTTCATGCAACGGTTGTATAGTAATATAATGCAACAATCTTCAAAATCCATGTTAGGGCTATTTGTTTTATCCAAATTTTAAAATATATACTCTTTTCATTCTAATGAACAACTACAAAAAAGAAAAATTTGAAAACGCAACCTTGAAAGTATTTTTTTGGCTCAATTAACATAGGCCGTCTATTTTGATAAGATGCTTAGATCTAGGCCTTAGAAGGATTTTTTTTTCAATTCTTGTAGATGGCTTTATTATCATTAAATAAATAATATTAAAAAAAGAAAAAATGATTTTGAGTTTGTAAAGGCTAAGATATTGAAATTCACCAAATGATTGGTCTAGATTCGTTGTTGAACATGCATTTCTTTTCAAATGTATAAATATCCTTCAAGGTCTTCTTCCACTTGGAGCATCGATGGACATAAGCAATATCTTACTTCTTGTCAACCGCTTACCAATGTCCACCTGTTTTAGGAAGTGTCATGAGGCAGACTAGTGATGCAATCAAGTTTATCACAGCTATTGCATATTTGGTCACTCATTAATTAATTAGAGTAAAAGAAGTATGAAATGTCCTAACATCATGTCATTGGAGGAGTAGGCAATGAATTATGCACCTTAATGTTCTATAATAGCATTTAGAGCCAGATGCTCAAATTGGACGTAGCATGATACTTGCTTCTGCATGGGATTGAACTATTATAGTTTTGTTTCTTATTTCACCAAGAAACAAGTGAATCTCTCAGTAATGTGCAATAGCTAGTGACATATCTTGTATCTAGGCCAATGTTGTCAGGACCGAACCGATGACTGAATCGGTGAGGGCATTGGTTCAGTTGGACTGGCCGAACTGGATTGGTTCACCAGCCAGACCGGACTAAGAAAATAAATAATTAATAAAAAGTAATCAAATAAGAAAATTTGGAAACATAAAAAAATTATGGAAAAATAGGAAAAATCTAAAAAATTAAGAAAAAATAAAAAAAATGTTAGAAGCAAATATAAATAAAGAAATACTCATTAATAATATAATAACTCATATTTGTAAAGATGACACAACAAAAAGCTCATAATAAAATATTAAAAACATTAATCATGAACTACCATCATAGGTGGGGAGAAAATAAGTACACCTCCACAAGTCTGTAACTCCACAATCTGCAACCTATAGGCGTTAAAATCTTGTTACTATTTGAATATGACATAATCCAAGGATATAATAAAAGTGTCAAAATGATCAATTGTCTGCTTCATCAACTTCATTTCTATCTCCTTGCTCATCATTGGGCTCCACTGTTTTGACTTCTAAATTATCATCATCTGCACCTATGAGAAAGTTTCCATATTTTTTTTTTTTAATATTAAGTTTCCATATTATTAAGTAAGATACAACTTACGTTCTTTGTGTGCATAAAATTTTTAAAAATAAATTAAATTTTAACTTCTTGTGGTGGTTCCATCTCCATCCACTTATCTAGATGCTCTTTAATACATTCAAGAGCATGCCTCTCTTTCTCGACAACCCTCTCTTCCACAATATCAATCCTCTTCAAGTCAATTGGATCTAAGGGCATTGTTTTACCCTCGGTCCTACAATATAACATTCCAAAGCTCTAAAAATAAATAGAAGTAGCACCAGAATTTTATAATTAATAGATACATAATGATAAATAAAGTAAACAAGAGTTTGTTACTTCTCTTCCAATCTCAAGTTGTATTGCACAAAAACCAAGTCATTTAGCCTTTTGTGCTCCAACCTATTTCACTTAGTAGTGTGGATGCGTTTGAAAACAATCCAATTCCTCTCACTCACTTTCACTGCAAGTTTTGCTTAGAATATGGATAGAAAAAATCCTAAGGATGGGAACTTCTCCATCAAATTGTTCCTATCAAGCTGCTGAATGTGATAATTAATTTAGATTAGAGAACTAGAGATACACAAGAACAAATGTATTACATTATAATTAATATGTAATTAACAAAGAATTGATAAAATGGATTATCTTGGAGAATTGTACCACAAGGCAATTACTAAAGGTCCCTCAAATAGTCCTGATGCATTTTGATATTGGCACAACTCTCTTCCGATCTTCACTTGCGTATGTGTTTCAAGGTATAACTTCTCCACCACAGTATGCAAGCCCCTCAATACTGCAACATGGGTTGAAAATGAGTCATTGTTATAGAAAAATTAGGCTTTGAAATAATTTGTAATTGCATGTATAGGGTGATGTAACTGCCCATCCCATCTTTCATCAATAATGTCACAGTATTTCTCATACTGGGTCCTCCTCTACTTATAAGTTTTTAATATAGCTTCTTTGGCCCTATTCATAGTTTCATATGTATACTTATGATAAGCCTAGAATCACAATCTACAATTCTCAACACCTTTACTAGGGGCTTTATAATTCAAGTTACATTTTAACATTAGTCCTAAAATGATTACTTAAAAGTGAACCCCATCTCTTTTTAGCTAGTCTTCCTAGCCCATATAGAATCCCTCCATGCAACTGATGTATAACCATGGTTCTCAAGCCATCCATTTGATTCGACATGCTTTTTAATACGAAGAAATCAAAAGCAAATCTAGTTAATGCTGGCCTCACTAATGTCCTATCATTTGTGTACTTCCTCATAAGATTCAGGACAAAGGAGTGGTTATCGATAAATTTTGTAATATCCTTTACATTCTCTACAACTTCTTTAAAATAATCCATCTTTTCTATATCCTCTAGCATCAAGTCTATACAATGAGCTGCACGAGATGTTCAAATGATAGAGGGATAATGAGCTTGTAGCAAATGCCTCCAAGGGAGTAATTGGTTTGCATTGTCTGTAGTAAACTAAACCATGTTATTTGGTTGCACTTCCTCAACAATTCTTAAATAACTCAAATAATGACTGCCCAGTCTTGATTATGTCAGAGGCATCTATGGACCTTAATAAAACCGTTCCCTTGTGACAGTACACCAAAAATCAATCGATTACCTATTTCTTTTATCTTTCAACCCATCTGCCATTGATAGGATATCCATATATCTTCCATATTGCCCTATATTTGTGGACCCTTTGATCTCTTCTCCGGTCTCGATTGCCTATGTCTTTTATCTTTCAACCCATCTGCCATTGATGGGATATCCATATATCCCCCATATTGCCCTATATTTGATTGTGGACCCTTTGATCTCTTCTATGATATTTTTTAATAATTTGGTCGTAGAATCATGATAGGATCTCGTTACAGATCCTCTGCTTCCAACATACTTTGGATATAGACGGAGTTGAAGGCATTGAAAGGGATAGCACAATGATATATCCATTTTCTCTCTCTATAGCTAGATCCCCAACCAATACATTTTTTATAGTTGGCTAGGAGCTTGGTGTTGTCCTTGGTTGGAAATAAGCCCCTATCCTACCTTGACCTTGCCTTCTTGCCCTTAGCTTGCTACTAGTCGCTAAAAGTTGTGGTGACTAGGCTCTTCCCCATGTCTCCCTCTAGTTTGAGGGGGCTTCCAGCCTCCTCTTCTCCCTCCTCAATATCAAAATACTCCTCCATGGGGGATTGGGTAGGGATTCTTGATCTCGTCATCAATTATTTGCCTCTTTTTCTTCTCGGTCATGTGATATTCAATACTGTTTTGCATCACATCATAGGAGAGGGAACGTTGGAGCATTTGACCATGCTCATAGTCTTTTATGCCATATCGTCCTTAAATGAATGTATTACCCGTCGTTCTATCGGTTTTGTGTAATTTTCGGACCATAAGAGTTCTGGCCACTTTTGGACTGGCGTTGGCGTTAGTGCGAATGGCGCCATGTCATTAATTCAATAATAATGACGCGCAAATATTTTGCTACGTGTCTCCCTTGTCGTTCTTATATAACCCCAATGTTCATATTATAGAGCAAATTTTGTTACCTTTTTCGCCCTTATAATATGGCCAATTTTGGCCATTTTTTTTCTCAATGAAAACGACAAAAGGAGGCGGAAAATGCCTTTTCTAGCCCCCTTTTACATTATCCAGTTCAAATATTTAGTGCCGGTTCAATATCCTTCCTGATTCAATTGCTGGACCGGAATGCTGGTTCTTTGGTTTTTTGTTCCAACCGGCTGATCCGGTCTGGTTCTTACAACATTGATTCAAGCATCCTATCCATTTGCGTCGCTTGTGATGATCTCTTCAGTAAAAACATTGGCATTAAAAACACTATGGAGAAATCTTTGGATCTTTGCAACTGCAAATCCTATTGTCTTCTTGGATCTGGCAGAGTTACTCACCTCTTAATTAATGTTATAAGCATTGGATTGGACCGGCCTGTTCAAACTAGCAATCTGTGAACCGGCACCATTTTCGGTTTGGTCTTGTGATTGAACCAAGAATGATATTGAACTGGCACTAAACCAGTGCACCAGCCATTCCATGTACTAGATCCACTGGGTCATTGGTTCTAAATTGAACTGGCTTGGTCTAAATGGGGACCAGAAAAGACGTTTTTGGCCCCCTTTTGTCATTCTCAATGAGGAAAATATAAGCCTGACTTGGTCTTATTATAAGTATATAAGAGCAAAAAAAGCTAATAAAAGATCTTGCTTTGTAATATAAATATTAAGAGAGAAAAATTTACTTTTTACTTTCTACCTTCGAGTTTTTTATTCTATATTTTCTCTCTCATCAAGCGAACCCCACCAAAACTTTATTGCGTGACTGCTGGCCAAGGAAGTGAGATTTTGGCAACATTTTAGCGGAGCTTCATATCAAGTGAGTTTATTTCTTGTTTACTTTAATATTTAATAGCTTACTTCAGAAAATACAAAAATAAATAATGAAATAATGTTTTAGCCTTGTTAGGTTTGGGAAATTTGAGTTTTATAATTTTGGAATGTGTTCATTTTTTTTTGTTGTTTTAGGTTATTTTGAAATTTGAAGGGAATTTACAAATTTGTAAAAGTCTATCGAAATATTACCTAAATAAAAATATGTTTGTGCCATTTTTTCCAACTTTTTTTTTTTTTAATTTTGGTTTGGAAAATGTAAAAAAATAAAAATCAAAATGAAAAAACGAAAAAAGAATTAAAAAAAGTAAGTAAGAAAGAAGGGAATGGATTTTCTTTTTTTTTTTCTTCATTTTTGAATTTTTTGTTTTTATTCTTTGAATTTTTTAATTTAAAAAAAAATAAGAGAATGAAAAAAGTTATTTTGGAACATGCAAAAAAGAAAGAATAGAAATTGAGAAAATGCAAAAAACAAAAATAAAATACCGAGATGAAAGAAAATAAAAAAGTAAACTAAAAAATAGTCTTTTTTTTTTTTTTTTTTTTTTTTTGCACTTTTGTTGCTATTTGCATTATCTTACATTTTCTTGTAATTATTTTTTCAAGGAATTTCTTATTATTCTTTTTTTCCCAGAATTTTCCACTTATTGTGAGGGTGTGCTTTGTGTTGTGGTGTGGGTGTAGGTATTTTGGTTTTAGGTATGGTTTGTACTTTGTAGGAGATTGTTATTACCTATTCGTGGTTGAGACTGGAGACTTTGATATTTGATTTGGAGAAAAAAAGTCTTCAAGTGGGTCTAATAGAGGAAAAAAATGTTCTCAAGTTGGAAAATATTTGCATATATGGTTTAAAACCAATAAAAGGAGGGAGAATACATGGGGTTAATGAGCATTTGTCTCAAAAGATAGGAATCGTGGCCAAAAGTATCAAAGTTCGCTCTCGTGATGTATGAGATGCAAAATAGCATAGAAACCCTTAAAAAGTTATGATGAGATCAGAAACCCTTAAAAATGTATTGCTTGGGGAGTAAAAGCTATAAAGAGAGTAGATTTGTCTGTAGTCTGGTGGATGTATCATTGTGCTATCCTTTCCTATATCCTCAAATCTGTCCATTTCCACCATATGTTGGATCATTAGGTGCAGGGTATAAAGGCCATTTCTATCATGATTGTAGGACTAAGTTGTTAAAGAAGACTGTGGAAGATGTCAAAAGGTCCATAGCCAAATATAGGGCAATATGAGAGACATATGGATATTCTAACATGGCTGATGGGTGGAAAGATGAACAAGATAGGCAATTGATTAATTTTTTTGGAGTATTGTCACAAGGAAACATTGATCTTTAGATGCCTTTGGCATAATTAAGACCGGGCAAGAATTATTTGACTTATTTGAGGATGTTGTTGAGGAAGTGGGGCCAAAGAATTTGGTTCAGTTTATTACACAATGCAGCCAACTTTTGCCGTCGGGCGCATTTGCTACAAGCTCATTGCTCCTCAATCTTTTGGACATCTTGTGCAACCCATTGTATAGACTTGATACTAGAGGATATAGGGAAGAGAGATTATGTTAAAGAAGTTATAGAGAATGCAAAGGATATTACAAAATTTATTTATAACTACTCCTTTGTCCTCAATCTTATTAGGGAGTATACAAATAATGAGTTAATGAGGCCCACAATAACTTCGCTACTAATTTCCTCACGTTACAGAGAATGTTGAATCAAATGGATGGCCTGAGAGCCATGGTTACATCAACTGGTTGGAGGGATTCTATATGGGTCAAGAAGACTAGTGGGAATGATACAACGAATTCAGTTTTAAATGATCATTTTTGGGCTAGTGTTAAAAATGTAATTCGAATTATAGAGCCCTTGATTAAGGTTTTCTGATATTTGTGGACAGTGATTCTAAACTTGCCATGGGTTACATATATGAGGCTATGGATATGGTCAAAGAAGCTATAGCAAAAATGTTTTTAGCTTACACATATGAGGCTATGGATATGGCCAAAGAAGCTATAGCAAAAACATTTTTAGCAGAAGGACCCAATATGATAAGTATTAAGACATTATTGATAAAAGATGAGACATATTTTCAACCCATCTAGCAGTTTGGGGGGGCTTGCATACCATGGTGACGTTATATTCTGAAACGCCTATGTAAGTGAAGATTGAGAGAGAGTTGTACCAATATTAGAATGCATCCGGAGTATTTGGATGACCTTTAGTAATTGCCTCTCATGGTACAATCCTCCTAGGTAGTCTATTTTATTAATTATTTATTATTTAACTATAAATTATAATATAGGAGAGGATCGATGTTGTGAAAGAGTGGGTTCTTGAAAAAGAGAGGTCTGCTCTTAAAGGTATTGAAGAGCATCCTACATAATTGAATGGAGATGAAACCGCCATAAGAAAGTCAAATTTAAATTTAATAATTTTATGTTTGAGGTTTTTATGCACTCTAAGAATGTAAGTTTGTATCTATTTTAATAATATGTAAACTTCGTCATAGGTATAGAGGTCAACACTGAGGAGTCCAATGATGAGCAAGAAAATTGAAATGAGTAAGGTTATTAATTATTTTGATATTTGTATTATATCACTTGGGTTTCATAATATTTTAATCGTAACAAGCTTTTTCGGCCTATTGGTTGCAAGTTGTAGAGTTGTGGACTTTGGTGGTGTACTTATTTTCTCCCTACTTACGATTGTGGTTCATGACTAGTGTTTTTTTATATTATATTGTGAGCTTTTTGTTTTGTGCCTTCTTTACAAATTTGAGTTATTGTATTATTAATGAGTATTTCTTTATTGCTTTAAGAGTTATATTTGTTTCTATTATTTTTAAAAATCTTACTATTTTCCATAATTTTCTATATTTTTCTTATTTTACTTTTTTATTAGTTGTTTAATTTCTTAGGCCAGCGAACCAGTCTAGTTCAGCTGGTCCTGAGCCGTTGCCCTTACTGGTTCGGTCACTAGTCTGGGGTCAACATTGGTAATTTTCTATATTTTTCTTATTTTACTTTTTTATTAATTGTTTAATTTCTTAGACCAGCGAACCAGTCTAGTTCAGCTGGTCCTGAGCCGTTGCCCTTACTGGTTCGGTCACTAGTCCGGGGTCAACATTGGTCTTAACTTGCTAGGCCGCATCGGAGTTCAATAAGACTCTAGAAACCTTAAGACACTTGTGTATTAGAGATAATTTTAGATACTAATGATAAAATCATCTGTTACTATTTTAGTTAGTTTCTCGTAAGTTTACATTTACTAAAATGAAGTTTTTTATATTTTATAATAAGCAATATTTATATATGAGAAATGATCATATTAGACCCCGCCCTTCATGAAGCATGACACGTCCTGATCTTCCTCATCCGCTAGATGGTGGACATGAACTGTGACTGTTAATGTGAAGATATGAGGTTAGATTTTAAATTTTTCACCACCTTATCAAGTAAATCATTGTCTAAATTTTTTTTATTTAGAGTAGTTCTAAATTTTATGTGTACTTAAGTACCCATAGATTGGAGGCTGTTAAACAAGGCTTCACCTATTGGGACTCTCTCCCGTTCTCTCTCTCTCTCTATAACATGATTCTATCGAAGGGTCTATATCATTTTATTTCATTGGATTCTCTCTCTCACCAAATTCTGGTTAAGGGTGGCTATCACTTTGTTTTGTTGCTCTCTCTATCTCTCTCATATTGATTTTGTAAAAATGTTAACACAGGAGGGTAACCACCAAGACCCAGACTGCTGTAAATGAGAAACAAGGAGATGAAGAAACTGAAATGCCGGATGCGCTAGATGAGAAAGGAGAGAATGATGAGACGGACGAGAATGATGAAAGCACGGAGTGAAAGCTCGACTTTCTGCTAAAGTTTCAATAAATCACTGTTAATTTGGAGGACCTTCATAGTGAATATGGTCACTTGAAGTATCCTACATATGAAAGAATCGGGAGTTCTCCATTAGCATCTCCAAAAACACAATTTTGTGGCTCTTGGATTAAGGATTATTAGAGGGAGCAGAGAAGGCTTGTAAGACTTGTAAATCTCTCTCTCTCTCTCTCTCTCTTGATGGTTCACTGAAAATTTTCGTTTAATTACTTGGAACAAGGGATCACTGAGATGATATAGTTGTTATTACAACCTGAAGGTGTAAATAATTCTGTCTGAGTATGCATATTTGGTGAAGGTTGTAAATTCAATTCTTATGAGCTATTGTTATTTTCAGAGTTAACAAGTGGGGAGACAAAAAGAACTGACCATAACAATGTGAAGTGGGAAGGACATTTTAGCTCTCTCTCCCTTCCTCTCTCTGTGTTAGCAGGGCTGCTGGATTTGTTTGCCCACCACGTTATATTTGCTATGTTTCATTAGGTTAATTTTCTGCGATTGTGTTATAGAGAGAAAGAGAGTTTGACTGGCAGGAGGGACGATATGGAGAGTATGTGTGTTTTGTGGAGGGAGTTGACTGGCAGGACCCAAAGTTAATTGTCAGAAACGAAGAGGACAACGTGGGTATTTTAATTTTGTGGGGGCAACGAAAGGGGTAAAAATACGAAAGGCCATGGGCGGGAAAGTGGAAACAAATCCAAAATTTCATCTTTTCCCGCCAAGACGGGGCTGACCGTTCTGCATACGCGGGCAGTTGGGGCTGCCCGGTGAAAAATAAATAATTTAAAAATAGAAAACTTTTGAGTTTTTCTACTTGAAGAGGAAAAAAAAAGGTATCCCATAATTTCGTAACATAGGATTCTATTGTATTGCAGGCGCAACATACTATTTTAAAAAAGCAAATTTAAAAAAAAGCACATTTAAGTTCATTTCAACTGCTGATTCAATCTTGTCCGTCCATTTGATTCAATGCCCCCAAACTGGGTCCAGCATATCAGCAATCTTGGCCGCCCATTTGATTCAATGCCCCCAAACTGGGGTCCAGCATATTCTACTACGCCATCGCGTGTCTGACACGTGTCGTGTCTGTACTCACAGATGGCTACCCTGATTGGTCCTGCATGACGTGGGATGGATGGCTAATAGAAGCCCTATGTGTTCGTTTGAATTAGAAAATACGACCAAGAGATGGAGCCCACGTAGATAGGTAGATGACGTGGCATGGGACTGAAAGTTGCTCTATATGGAAGTCTTCGCCTTATCTCATGTCAAATGGAACCTAGAGAGAGAAAGGGGTAGAGAGAGAGTTATCACCTAGAGAGAGAAAGGGGAAGAGAGTTATCCTGGCTTTAGAGTGAGAGAGGGAGGTTTATCATTGTCCGTTGGCTTTAAAGAGGGTTAATGTCTTAAGACCCAAGTTTTAATTTTAAAAATAGTTTATATAATGTTGAGACCCTTGAAAATTCCCAAATTGATCATCTCAACCTCAAAATGTATGAATATGAAAAAATTGGATTTTAAGTCTTCAAAATAGTGCATCATGTAATGTATATTCTAGACTGTCGATTCTCAAAATTTTCAAGTATTTATAAATCTGCTCAATCTACACTAATTCTAAATCTTTAAATTTTGTAGTTAGAGATAAAAATGAATTTTAAAAGCATCACCAAGCTTTCTAGTACTGAAACAACATGTTTCAACCCTATTTTAAGGTGTGCATTATTTTGATTGTTTAAAGCTTCAAACTTATACAAACCACACCCTTTAATTCTTGAGAAACAACAAGTCACTTTGTTTTTATTTTTTATTATTATTTTCCTGATTGGGTTGATATTGTCTGATCTGGATAACCCTTGATTTAACCGATCCGCATTGGTTCATCAAAAACCGATCCACAATCCGGTTCTATTTTTGTTTTATTATTATTTTCCTAAATTGGCTAATACGATCTTATCTTAATAACCCGATTTGGCCAAACAACAGTTGTCACCTGTTTTTTACTTTTATTATTATTTTCCTGATTGGGCTGATATAGTTTGATCTGGATGACCCTTGATTTAGCCGATCCACATTGGTTCATCAAAAGCCGAACCACAATCCGGTTCTATTTTTGTTTATATTATTATTTTCCTGAATTGGCTAATACAATCTTATCATAATAGCCCCATGTGGCAAAACAACAACTATCACATGTTTTTATATTTTATTATTATTTTTCCGATTGGGTTGATATTGTTTGATCGGGATAGTGCCTTGATTTAGTCAATCCACATTGGTTCATCAAAAGCCGATCCACAATCCGGTTCTAATTTCATTTATATTATTATTTTCGTGAATTGGCTAATACGATCTTATCTTAGTAGCCCGATTTGGCCAAACAACACCTGTCGTATGTTTTTATTTATTTTTTATTATTTTCCAGATGGGGCTGATATAGTTTGAGCTGGATAGTCCTTTATTAGCTTATCGACATTGGTTCATCAAAAGCCGATCCACAATCCGGTTCTATTTTTGTTTATATTATTATTTTTCCGAATTAGCTAATACAATCTTATCTTAATAGCCCGATCTGGCCAATCAATCGATGTCACCTGTTTTTATTTATTATTAGTATTTTTTCGATTGAGCTTTTATAGTTTGATTTGGATAGCCCTTGATTTAGTCGATCCACATTGGTTCATCAAAAGTCGATCCATAATCCGGTTCTATTTTTGTTTATATTATTATTTTCCTGAATTGGCTAATACGATCTTATCTTAATAGCCGATCTGGCCAAACAAGAGCTGTCATCTATTTTTATTTATTATTATTATTTTCTTGATGGGGCTGATATAGTTTGAGTTGGATAGTCCTTGATTTAGCCGATCCACGGTGGTTCATCAAAAGCCGATCCACAATCTAGTTCTATTCTTGTTTATATTATTATTTTCCCGAATTGGTAATACAATATTATCTTAATAGCTCGATGTGGCCAAACAACTGTCACATGTTTTTATTTATTATTATTATTTTTGTTGTTGTCATTGTTTTTCTGCTGTTGCTGTTACTATTTTTGTTGTTGTTGTTGTTGTTATTATTGTTACTAATTATTATTATTATTGTTATTGTTATCTCTATTGTTACTACACCCACCACCACCAGCACGACTACATCATCATCATCATCATTATTATGGTTATTCATTGGTATTTTTAAGGTATCGTTTTGTCGTCCTTT